ATTTCTATATGTGAACCAGATACATTTGGATCAGATTAACCTTGTACGTTCCGGTATTCACAACACCGCATGTGGATGCATGGGCAGTCCTCGTTCCCTCTGTGACCAGAAATACGGTCACATATTTTGAACAGTCGGTGTGACATATTTCTCTGGCGCCTTGCAAATAAACACTATTGAAATGTTGGGCTGTTTCACAGTTACAGTTGACTTGAGATGTGTTTGGCAGACGCCAGTTTACAATGGTGTGTTACGTAGTTCCGTGTCGTTAGGCTGCGACCCGAATGGTTGTACACTAGTGCAGTCGGAACACGCAGCAGCAACAATGGCAGGACACCTACTGTGCCACCACCATGTACAATGTGATGACACTTATATTCTCTCACTATCCTCATGCCCAGTTAAACGTTGTTCAGATATAGTTGGCGATGGTGCGCACATACACCTGTTCGGGAATGGAATTTCCCTGCTCGTATAGCGGCCTGCAAATGGTCAAGTCTTGACCAAACAACCAGTTGCTGATATTATCAACTTAGCCCCAGCCATCGGGACATGATGACGCATGTTGTCTGACCACCCGAGACAATCAAGTAATGTGACCCCGGCCCAGATCTGGACGATATATGTAGCATTCACTCATCAAATTCACATCACTATCAATACTGTCGTATTTTATTCATGAACATTTTAAACTATCACCACGACCCCACTTGATGTCTCTGAACAAAGGGATGCCTAAGCAGATTGTGAGACACGTATATTATGTATGATATGGACTCGATACACGATGGCCTGGTACCACTTGTTGATGGCAGATATATTTAAGAGCAACAGTTTTTACATTTAAAAAAGAAAAGTGTTCATATTCATGAACCCAACACTTGGGGTTGTTTGAATGTGTGTGGCACTTACCACAGCGGGCCATCCCCATACAAAACCAGACCAAGACAACAACATATGATGAATGGAGAACAATACACCATACAGCTTGTCTGGCCATATGCATGGACCTGTCATCTGTGGAAGGACCACCAAGTTATCCTTGTGTTTTATACTCTTCATGAATAGTTATGCAGTAATGCCACGCATCCCGTGGGATCAGTGTCGGGCGCTGTAGGATCATCCTCGTGGTTCAAGTAGGATGATTTACGGATGGTTGGTGTTTTCAACATTTGGAACTTTTTTCGAGACAGGAATCATCGTGATAGGTTCATAGACTATTTGGACAATAAATATGAATAATGTATTTAAACCTCGAAGACTCCACGGTGCATCACTCTGATCTTTTAACAATTCCCTCGATTAATTCTTACCCTTGATAAGAATAATCTATACCACAACATTTCATAGGGACAATCAGATGTGTCAGATATATTTCAATGGACACTTGACATATTATAAGAACCAGGTTTGTGTATCGTGGCCAGATGAACCTGACACATTCAAGAGTGAAGCAGTATATGACTAACGATAGGGTCAATGATATGACAGTGGCTATTTGGTATGCCAGTGGTAGGCGCGTCAGCTTATCATGGGCAAGAGTCGACTTCGATTCCCAACATGATCTGGAAGTTCGTGGAAGGTCATTAACGTGGCGTTCAATATCATTGCACTTACAAACCGACGTGCATTCACGTGCGGACGTGTTTGCTTGTTTGATTGCCCGTGAAGATCCGGGTTAGAATTGATATTCAGTAACCCATGGCGACTATGGTCAGGCTCATTGGCACATGCCTTCGTATCCCAATTGTGTAGATCGATGCTTATGCTGTTGATCACTGGATTGTCTGATCCAGACTCGATTATTTACAGACCGCCGCCATAAAGCTGAATATTGCCGAGTGCGGCGTAAAACTAAATTCACTCACTCACTTGTGGGATTGTACTATTCCGCATTGATGACGGGATTATAGCACCAGTCCACTGAGATACCTTACTGCAGCTTCAACATGAATAATCCAATCAGCGTCTACAGACTCCCAGCCGATTGGTTCTTTTTATACTCCTAGTGCCGACACCACGCAGGGTAAGAACAAGTCCTTCGAATTCGGTGTGAGGCGGCCGGGGATCGAACCAGCCCACGTGAGGGGGCCTTTATCATTTGGAATATAACTTGTGATAAACGTCTGGCTTGTGAGCCTCAACGTCAATATATCCGAGTATAACTGACTCACTTGACATAAACCGACAGGCTGTGCCTCCTTCCGGAACAAAATATTTACTTACAACAGTGTTTCTGAGAGAGTTTAGTTAACAAATAAGCTTCTTACAACCCTCTACATACCTGTTTCCTAAATGACATTGAATTTGCTGGAGAAATGTTTCAATTCAACACGCACATTAACGCCTTGGCCGTATGTCCGGAATTACTATCACATTTTCGCGCATGTGCAAACCACACAGACACCTTCCGGCGTGTCACTATAATACAGGTAGTCATTGTGCTGCTATTAACAGCAATAAATACTGGTGGTAACTAGCACCCATTGTGGAAATATCCATATTGTGTTGCAAGTCAAATATATTAACGATCATGTGGATTTACTTTCCCTTTCGCACACCTAACTAGTATTCCTACGCGAGAGCAAATACCTTTAACCGACTCCAGGCGGAACAGGGTATGGCTTGCAAACAAAACAAATAAACAGTAATGCTATTCATATATTTGCCATTAAGACGTGCAGATTTGTGTTGGTTTCATTTACTGGGGGCTTTTACGAGGGCATTGTTTTTAGAATACGCACACAGTTTTTAGCAAAAGTATCACTTAACACTACAATCCGTACGTAGATCTCAAGACAACACGTCAGGGGTGACATATGGGTCGTAAGTTTAGGACTGTCGTAGAAACGTTACTATCTCCTTAGATCAATTACAATACAACAGACAAAGAATCAGCGCCACGAACTTAACTTCTGTCAACTGTTTGATCAGGCATTGGCAAAGGGACTTCTTTGATTGGCATTCTAGAAATTGAGTGGATGAAGAATGGGGGGCTATTTTTATGGATATACAACATCTTTATTCTGTATAGGCGACGTTTCGACATAGATTCTAATGTCGCTGTCAACGGCAAAGGGAGTCACCTATTTCGAAAGTTGTACATTTGAATATTGTTCCGGCTTGAATATTGTGGTCAACACAGCTTTGGCCAAATGTGAATGAACTTAGGTAAAGTGAAGGTTGGACTGGATAATCATTAGGTGCAGGACTACGTGCTTTTGGGACTTGCCTCTTTATATCTGTGCAGACCGACTGTACTCGCACACTGATAAAATGTTCTTCGTGAAAAGCATGCTTTGGTTTGCGACAGCGTTGCACAGTTTGATCAGAGTACTTCTCTATCACGTATAACACGAGTGTGTTTTCAATGCAAACAGATGCACCTACTTCACAAAAACCTGTAGGGACATCCGTCTTACTTTTCTCCGCCTTCGGAATAGATATTTAACAATATTCATAGAGATAAACAGTGAAACTGTAGAGGATGACAGGGTCAGACAGGTATTCATTGTTTATCAGGCTCCATCATCTATGTTCGCAATTCCTTCTTCCCAATAATAGGTGCCAGTTTGACTGGTGTCTTAGATGCGCATCGCTGTTTCGTTACTAATGTATTGCACACCTGCTGTTAGATCCTGTCCCCAGTCGCCAGACTGTCATCTGCTGTGGTCTCAGATTCCGAAAGTCGTGTTTCTCTACACGACTTATACATGTGTATCTATGAGCAAGTTACATCCTGTTACACGTAAGCAATGGAGTGGAGCTTAACTCCAAACAAGCTGGAAAGACACAAAAACATTTTCATCTATTACCAGGATGTATCAACGAGACATGATTAATTAAATTAAACTGGGTTTTCTTCTTCAGAACCTACGTAGCAAGACATGCCTTCATAGCCAAACACGGCCAAGGCAAATTAGTGGGGGGACATAATGTCCAAAATATTGTCACTGTCAAATCGGCATAGACTATAAGGTTTTATAAATTGCGAAGCAAGCGTATTATTTTGTGGTGTGGTGACATGTCAACTTGGTTTGTGTCAAGGGAGGTCACTGTAATAGACATTGCTGTAGGAGATGGCGTTGTGTCACGACCCTTGTCGGCAATAGTTTGTCATTTGTTTGTAAGTCTTAGCGGTTAAGTAGACACAAGGCATAGGCGGATCCAGAGTGGGGGCGAGGTGGGTGGCTGCGCACCCCTTGTGCTGAAAGTTGGTTAAATGACCATTGAAACTCGGGTGAAAATGAAGTGTGCACCCCTCCTTTTCTGAATAGTGTTCACCACCCCTTCTCAAAAAGCTGTATCCGCCCCCTGCAAGGTTACAGTATATGGAAGACTGACCACATCTGACACATGCAGGTGCGTCTGTCTCTATGGACACTAGTGAAGTAGAACACGCGGGGTTCTGGTGAATGTAGAACATATGAGTAAAGTGGAGTAGAACACTTGTGGCAGTAGAACATATGGTTACTTGTGGCAGTAGAACACATGGGTACTTGTGGCAGTAGAACACATGTGTACTTGTGGCAGTAGAACACGTGTACTTGTGGCAGTAGAACACATGGGTACTTGTGGCTGTAGAACACATGTGTACTTGTGGCAGTAGAACACACGTGTACTTGTGGCAGTAGAACACATGTGTACTTGTGGCAGTAGAACACATGTGTACTTGTGGCAGTAGAACACGTGTACTTGTGGCAGGAGAACACATGTGTACTTGTGGCTGTAGAACACATGGGTACTTGTGGCAGTAGAACACATGGGTACTTGTGGCAGTAGAACACATGGGTACTTGTGGCAGTAGAACACATGGGTACTTGTGGCAGTAAAACACATTGGTACTTGTGGCAGAAGAACACATGTGTACTTGTGGCTGTAGAACACATGGGTACTTGTGGCAGTAGAACACATGGGTACTTGTGGCAGTAGAACACATGGGTACTTAAGGACATGTTTGTTCTGACTGTACATGTATATTTGTGTATATTTCTCAACAGGAGGAAGCCTCTGAAGCCAACAGGAGATGGGGACCTTGGACGGCCTGGTCATCCTGCTCCAAGTCCTGTGGTCAGGGAATTAGATACAGAAAGCGACTGTGTCACAATCTGGGCAGGTGAGTAGAGCGGAATGGTTCTGTGTCAAAGGAGGTGACGGGAATAGACATGTCACCTTGGGTTGTGTCAAGGGAGGTGACTGGAATAGACATGTCACATTGTGTTGTGTCAAGGAAGGTCACTGGAATAGACATGTCATCTTGGTTTGTGTCAAGGGAGGTCACTGTAACAGACATGTCACCTTGTGTTGTGTCAAGGGAGGTCACTGTTATAGACATGTCACCTTGTGTTGTGTCAAGGGAGGTCTCTGTAATAGACATGTCACCTTGTGTTGTGTCAAGGGAGGTCTCTGTAATAGACATGTCAGCTTGTGTTGTGTCAAGGGAGGTCTCTGTAATAGACATGTCATTTTAGCTTGTGCCAAGGGAGATCACTGGATTAGACATGTCACCTTGTGTTGTTTGAAGGGACGTTACTGTAATAGACATGTCACCTTGTGTTGTGCCAGGGGAGGTCACTGTCATAGACATGTCACCTTGTGTTGTGTCAGGGGAGGTCACTGTATAAGACATGTCACCTTGTGTTGTGTCAAGGGAGGTCACTGTAACAGACATGTCACCTTGTGTTGTGTCAAGGGAGGTGACTGGAATAGACATGTCATCTTAGTTTGTGCCAAGGGAGATCACTGGATTAGACATGTCACCTTGTGTTGTTTGAAGGGACGTTACTGTAATAGACATGTCACCTTGTGTTGTGCCAGGGGAGGTCACTGTAACAGACATGTAACCTTGTGTTGTGTCAAGGGAGGTCACTGTAATAGACATGTCACCTTGTGTTGTGTCAAGGGAGGTCACTGTCATAGACATGTCACCTTGTGTTGTGTCAAGGGAGGTGACTGGAATAGACATGTCATCTTGGTTTGTGTCAAGGGAGGTGACTGGAATAGACATGTCATCTTGGTTTGTGTCAAGGGAGGTGACTGGAATAGACATGTCATTTGGGTTTATGTCAAGGGACGTCACTGGAATAGACATGTCATCTTGGTTTGTGTCAAGGGAGGTCACTGGAATAGACATGTCAGCTTGTGTTGTGCCAAGGTAGGTCACTGGAATAGACATGTCACCTTGTGTTGTGTCAAGGGAGGTCACCGTAATAGACATGTCACCTTGTGTTGTTTGAAGGGACGTTACTGAAACAAAATGTCACCTGTGTTTGTGTCAAGGTAGGTGACTGGAATAAACATGTCACCTTAGGTTGTGTCAGGGGAGGTGATAGGAACAGCCAAGCTGCTGTTGGTGGTCAGCAGATGACTGGTCAACATATGTTTATGGATCAGCCAGTCTGCTGTTAGTTATGTCACAGGAGCTCACATGAAAGTCTGGGCTGATGGTGCTTGTATGAGGGGAGGTGCCAGGAACAGTCAGAGTTTTACATATATCTAATCAGTTTGTACCAACTTATATCAAAATGTTTTAATGTGGTCCTGTTATTTTGAAAAAATATAGATGGGGAAAATTTGAGGACAATTGCTTTGCATATTTCTTTCTGTTTTTTGCACTACTTTTTGGTATGTTTTGGCTACTTTCTTCTTTTCACAGCCAGTCATCAGAGTCACCTACAACCTCATGTGATGGGCCAGATAAACACTATAAAGTATGTAAACATGTAAGTATGACCATTCTCACTTACTCTGCATACATTTCATTATGATGAAAATTGCTTTATTCTATATGATTTTCACCAAAAGAAAATAGAATTTTGATACCATAAGTCTGTCCTTGTGGCTTGCAGTTTGGGAGCAGAAACACTACTTGTCCTCCACTGACAGCCTCACTGAACTTGACTTTCTGGACTACAAATCTAAATACTTTCCTTTCATACAAATTGTCTTCACTGAATAGAAAATAATTATGCCTTCTAACATTTGATATCATGTAAGTATGGTATCACAAACTGCATGGTGCCTGGAGCTCATGTCATCTCAGGCATTAAAGTGTCATGCAGAGTTACACCCCTTGGACCTGTTGAATGCTGGTTTGTCAGTGCGATGCCCTGATAGATTTTACCAAGTTACCTGGAAAAGTCTTAGATCTGCATCATGCTTCCTCTTCCACCCAGCCATCATGGGTGGATGTAGCTGTTGTATCACCAAGCCAGACTCACCCAATGATTGCATCATTTTACCAGAAGCAGACATTGAGGAAACTATGAAAGCATAATACTTCTTTTCTCCTATTTCACACCTGTCCAACATGTCCATTTCATATCGTTTCATAAGCTCAAATGAAAGTCAATGTAATTATTTTGCAATGTTTGTGAAAGTGTTTAAAGTAACAATAATTCTCAGCCTCAAATGAGCTCAATGAGAAGCGTGAGATGAAGAAATCTCTTATAGTTGAAAATGAAGTCATATAATCAAAGTATTACCAGGGAAACTCAAATTAGACATAAAACTATTCATGATAGACATGGTTGCTCATTTACTTCCCAGAATTTGAAACAGTCATCCCAAATTAAATGAGATCATAAAAAATATTTCTAATTCATGACAGCTGAAAAATCAGAATTACTAGATCTACCCACGTGTCTCTGTGAGGCTTGATCAAGTTTACAGCCAAGCAAACATCAAGACGTTTATTGCAAATGTTGACATAATCTTTATGTTTGCCATTTTATTGCTAAAGGCTTAAATGAACATTGAAAGACGCAGTATGAGGTATAAAGTTCCCTCCAGTACACCAATCAAAGGAAGTAGGGCTACAATTACTTCACGCAAAGACATCAACCACATTTGTGTGAAAGTCAGACATAGAATTCTTAACAATAATAGCATTTATCTGTACCCCCAGCTGTTTAATGGCTCTCTCCATAAAAAGGAGAAATGTAGAAGTGTTTCTTGTGGGATTAAGACCAATCGGGATATAGCTTTAGGAAAAGCCATTACTGTTGATCGTCACCTGAAGATGTGTGCATATCAATAAAGTTCTAGTTTATGGGTACTACGTTATGTTGCATAGATTTCAATGCCTTTCTATAAATTAACATTTGGATGTCTGGAATTGAAATTACAGGTCACAGATTTCATTTTATGTATCCTGGATTTAGTGTCACAGTTTATTATTTTCATCAGAAATTATAATAATTCTTTCCCCACATACTGACTGACAATGTATGTTTGTATCCAAAATTCAAGAATCAATTGTTTTTCATTTATTTGTTTTGTTCCCTAGTAGAGCAGGTTGTTGTTAAGTTGAGTTGAGAAGTGAATTCTAGTTCATGTATTGGTAGATTTTGTATTTTGCTCCTAAAGCAATTGGAGAACTTGTTAAATATATTATATACATCTTAGTGATAGTACACTTTCAGTGCCCTCAATGAAGTATTGAAATACAGGATTATGATCCAAGTTACTGATTTGGTAGTACATGTACATGCAATTGGTGGCATTTTAAAACTGCCGTCCCCATGGGTTTTGAGAGATATGTGGATATTGATATGTTTACTGAGATGTTTTGTGTTCCAGAACTGTACAGGACATCATAAAGACTACAGGACTGCAGAGTGTGAAAAATACAATGGCCGATACTATGGAGGGAAACGGTATTACTGGGATGCATTTATAAATCGTAAGTGCCATTCATGTATGCATTCAATGCATTTCATTTATTCAGGCACTGCAATCACAGTGTTGCCCTGATCAGTTGTTTTAAAGAAATAGAAAATGACTTGGACTGGAATGAAGCTGTAGTAAAACAAAACTTACTGGTACTCTTCATTTATTCTTATATTCTTTCAGCATAGCTCTGTATTTCATTCATTCTGTACATTTTGTTCCTATCCATCCATCCATCATTTCATCCATCATTCCATCCATCTGCCCATCCAACCATGTCCATCCATCCATCCACCCATGTCCATCCATCCATCCATCCACCCCCCATGTACATCCATCCATCCACCCATGTCCATCTATCCATCCATCCACCCCCCATGTCCATCCATCCATCCACCCATGTCCATCCATCCATCCATCCATCCATGTCCATCCATCCATCCACCCATGTCCATCTATCCATCCATCCATCCACCCCCATGTCCATCCATCCATCCACCCATGTCCATCCATCCATCCATCCACCCCCATGTCCATCCATCCATCCACCCATGTCCATCCATCCATCCATCCACCACCTATGTCCATCCATCCATCCATCCACCCATGTCCATCTATCCATCCATCCATCCCATCCATGTCCATCCATCCATCCACTGTATATGTCCATCCATCCATCCATCCATCCATGTCCATCCATCCATCCACCCATGTCCATCCATCCATCCATCCATCCACCACCCATGTCCATCCATCCATCCATCCACCCATGTCCATCCATCCATCCATCCATCCATCCATCCCCATGTCCATCCATCCATCCATCCATCCATCCATGTCCATCTATCCATCCATCCATCCCCCCTATGTCCATCCATCCATCCACCCATGTCCATCTATCCATCCATCCATCCCCCATGTCCATCCATCCATCCACCCATGTCCATCCATCCATCCGGTCCATCCACCCCCATGTCCATCCATCCATCCACCCATGTCCATCCATCCATCCATCCATCCATCCCCCATGTCCATCCATCCATCCATCCACCCATGTCCATCTATCCATCCATCCATCCCCATGTCCATCCATCCACCCCATGTCCATCCATCCATCCACCCATGTCCATCCATCCATCCATCCACCCCCATGTCCATCCATCCATCCACCCATATCCATCTATCCATCCATCCACCCCCCATGTCCATCCATCCACCCACCCATGTCCATCCATTCATTGCTGCTGTCAATGGTTCAGGAGGATCAGGACAGTCTCCAGCCACGTACGGGACAGGACACTCACTGACACCCACTTCAAGGCAGGCCTGTTTCACGACTAGTACCTCACTCATGCTAACTACAGGCCATGTGTACAGTATTTGATTGTTCCAACTGTCTACAGTGCTACCTGATACAGTGTTCATTCAGTCCTTTACACACTGCACAAGGTCAATAATACATTATACAACTTGCATGGCTTCCCCTTTATTTACCACCCAACAACAGGATATAACCTTTTTCTGTCCTTGAATCTTCAAAGCCCTATTCAAATAAAACAGTGGTATGTCAATAGTTCGCTATTCACAATCTACAAGTGAACATATCAACATAGGCTAGTTTTTTACACTGCCACCAAGTGTTACCGGTAGGAGTAAGGTCAAGGCCCACTTACACAATTAAAGTAGTCTCTATGACAGATGTCGGAGTTGTGCTTCTTGTGAAGGTGCAAGCAATGTCAATCAAGTCATTCAAGCACAGTTTCAACACACATTTGTTCTCTTGTGGTCTGAAGCTCATGTACAAACTTCCTCTGTTATTGGTCATCTGAACCACTTCTGTTTGCTGTGCAGAGTCGCATCCCTTAGGCCTGCCAGGATCTGATGATCATGAATTCAGTGAACCTCAGATAGGTATTCTTGATTTGACAGCAGCACACATGTTGACAGCCTGATTCAGTTTTGGCATTCCTACATTGAAAAGTAACATATGGTAAATTCCCACATGGAGTTGAAATGATAAAACTGAAATGCATCAAGTTCAGGGTTTGATTCATCCTTCCGTAGCCCATGCTTGCTGTAAGTACAGGGAGACCTGGTAGTCGGGATGGCTGTTTGTATTCCAGTTAATAGGTGATTTACAGATTCTTCTCATTAACCTTGAATATTGTAGAGTGCAACACTACACAACCAATATAGAGACAAGCCACACTACCCTTCAAAGTGGCATCAAACGCTGCTCTCTGCCCTGATATCAGAAGCCGCGGTGGCTGAGCGGTCTAGGCGTCTGACTTTGTGTGCTGGCGATTAGGTGCCTGGCTCTGAGGGTGTGGGTTCGAATCCCGGATGGGACTCAACCCAAAAAGTACTAGAATCTGTACTTTACTGAGAAAGTGTAATCCCAAATATAACATATGTTACATTTGACCACTTTCTAAAATGGCATTGTGTATTTCATAGCTTTCGGCCGTGGGAGCCGTGCCAATTAACACTTATCAGAGGGGTACACAAAGTCCGCAGTCTAGACTACCAGTTGTCCAATCCCAAATCCCAAATATAACATATATGTTAAAGTATTTAATAGAATACAAAGATGGTACCTTGTTAAGTATATTTAAATAATGCCTCCCTATCCTTGTATATTCAGTCACAGGGTATATGATATTGAATATGTTCCCTATTTTATCTCATTCAGTTACAGTTTCAGGCACAATTTAAGTAGCCTGTTTTTCTTCCAAATATCGGATAACAAATGAACAATAAACAAATCATTAAAACATAATTTTTGTATTTTTGATAATTGAAAAAACTTATGAACCATATTTTGAAATGTCATACATGTGATAAGTGCTCCACATATTGAATAATAATCTAAATGTCAAAAGGTTGTATAATCAAAAGGGTATAAAATGTTCACTCAGTCCAAGTGGAAGAAACTGTCAAGTTGGTAAGAGTTGCTTCCCTTGAGATAGGTTAAGCAGCAGCCCAGCAGGCACAAGTGACACAGGGCCTGCACTGCATTGGTCATGGTTCAATGGATTGTTTAATGCTACAGTCAGCAATATTCCACCTATATGGATCAGACAATCCAGTGATCAACACATCAAGAGCATCCATAGGTAGATCCAGAGGGGGTGGTGGGGTGCAGGGTGCAACCACCCGCCCCTGCCTTTTGTCCTGAAAGTTTATTAAATGACCTTTTAAACTCTTGTGAAAATGAAGGGTGCACCCCTTCTTTCTCAATAGTGTGCACCCATCCCCACCCCATCCCTCCCCCCTCTGAAAAGGCTGTATCTGCCCCTCTCATTGATCTACGCAATTGGGTTTCAATGATATGTGTCAACCATGTCAGTGAGCCTGACCACCCGATTCCCATCAGTTGCCTTATACGACAAGCATGGGTTACTGAAGACCTCAATTCTAACTCGGACCTTCACGGGTTAATTATGACAAACTACTGAACAGAGAAAATACAGAAAAACAAGTTTCAGCAGATATGTCTCACCCAAATGTTTCTGGTGAGGTGAGGTGAGGTGAAATTGGGTTTAACATCGTGCTTGAGAATATTTTGCTCATATGACGACGTGCATGCGTGTGTATGTGTATGTGTAGCTGCTTGTACTAGCCCAGACTGAAGCTGGTTTTATAGTGCTAGCCCACTGAGATACCATGCCGCAGTGAAGCATGAATACCCCACTCAGACACATTTTACTGACTCCGAGCCGACCAGTCCTTGTTGTACCCATGAATGCCGAGCGCCAGGCAGGGACCAACAAGTACCATATTTTAACGTCTTTTGCTATGACGCGGTCGGGGGTCGAACCCGCGACCTTCCGCTCTCCGCGGGCGGATGCTCTAACCACTACACCACGGAGGCGGTCAAATGTTTCTGGTAGTCTTGTTTATTGCGAATATGATTACTTCAAACCTCTGTCTTAACATACAATACCGATGATAGTATTGGGTTAACTCCACTACTGAGTGAGCTGAGCAGTGACCAGATGACTGCAGACACTGCAGTGGGCACCATCACCATCACCATCACCACCATCATCATCATCAGCTAGTCCCCCTTGCAGACCCTACAACATATACTCAACAAAACATATCCCTTTCCACTCTGATCCCCATTTCATCAACCAGGAATTAGGTGACTTGATGTTTCTTATTGTGTGTTTAAGGAAAATACATGGATGTCAACCTCTCTATCAGAGTATATTCTTACATGTGTGTCATTTATTAAGTTCATTAAAAGCTTTTATAGTGTTATTTGTATTAAACTTGATACATCGCTATATTTTAGGGACAATATGTACGCCTTCAGTAGCATCAGCATGATTATTATCTTGTCCCCAGCCTACAGTCGGTGTGAACTAGCCTGCAAGGCCAAGGGGCCGGTGCGGTACTACTCACGCTTCCAGGAGACAGTGGAAGATGGAACACCATGTAAGCTGGACAAGGAAGCCATCTGTATACAGGGCCGATGTCTGGTAGGAATATAGTCCACATACACACAATGTCTGGAATTTGTGTTCTGTCATAGTCCTGTGTTGGCCTGAAATCATGAAATCATCTTTGTTTAGTGCAGCCACTCACAGATATTATTCCCAATAGTGGCTAAAACAGTTAACATTAAATCCTTATATTGTTCTTTATTTATAGACATGAATATATGCACTTAACGAATAGATTTCCATTCTACAACAACAATATTGTGGCTGTGAAAAGAATTATCCCACAGATGACAGTTTTGCTTTGTCAGCTTTCTTCGGTCTTGTGGACAATGGCATCCAAGCTTCAGTCTGAAGGACCTCCCATCATGGGACAAAAACATGTTATGGTAGCTACATTTCATGATAGCTTTAGGCTTGACATCTGATTATGAAATATGTAGCATGGGATCACCCCGCAGCTGACATCTTTACCTTGTAAACATTCCAGTGACATTAACTTCTCTGGTCATGTGGACAGACTTCTTCTGGTCAGGCTGGACGCCAGAAGGTCCATGGTTCCTGTCTTGGGATCAGCAGAATGAATGTTACCTTGTGTTGAATGTGCTGACCTGTTGGCACCAGACTGAGACTGACCACTGTCCACCACTTACAGTCTCTGTATAAAAGAGTACATGTATGAGACACCCAGGTCTGGTGAGCATCTGTAAGTCTGTGCTGTTGGACACTATCCCTGTTAGTAATGATATTATGGGAACACAGAATCTGTCCAACAGAATGTTTGCTTGCATCAAGACCTGCTGATGCTGGTTGTCAAGATGGATTTGGTATGACTGACGTTTGGAAGGGTAACCTCCTCGATAACTTGGATTCATTGCAATTTGACATGTTCCCACCATCAACCACTGGTTCGGTGCTTGAGCCTGATGGCTTACAGCTCTTAGTTGTGGCTGTGGAATAGCACTGCCTGTATGGTATAGACTTGGAGAAGAACTAGCATTATCATTCTGTATTTTGCTTTGAGGTCTAATTTGAGTTTACAGGTTTGTTTGTGCTTCTGTTGAGAATATATACATATGCCCGACTATCTACAAGCAGTATAATCTGCCTGTGCTTGTAGAGCAGATTATCAACACATCTATTTCTTCAAATGAAATTCCTTTCATGATTTTGCACATTCTGAAAATTTGCTTAGCATGAATGTATATTTTAAATTTGAATTCTATTGATTTCACTGGAAATAGTAAATTGCATTGAAAAAGAGATCTAGACGGAAATGTTCAGCTGCATGAAATATGCATTTACCTTTAGGAGTATTGACTGAGAGTTAAGAAATACCATCGCCTGAAGTCAGGCTACAAGTGGATCAAGTGTTGCCATGATTGACGGGGACAGATATGTATGTACAGGCCCCTTGGCTGTAAATCAGACAACATATCTTAATACGGGATTACAGATAAAACAATCAGACAAATCAGTACCTCAGACTTGTTAAACAAATGATTTACTATTCATGATAGTTTTGTTAGCCATTGTGAAATAGAAATATATGATCAAAATCATGCTGTTGACAAGTGCAGAAACTTAAGGCCAAGTAGGATAGCCAACCATTTGCTTGGTGGACGCAAGGACCTTTTTGTGAGAGTAGAACATGTGTTCCTGGCTGTCAATGTCGTGTTTTGTCTTAAAGCCATAAATAACACTGTGTGATATGTACAGTGTTTACAACGTACATGATACGTGGTGGCAATTGGTTTGATACATGTCATGAGGGACGGTAAGAAACAGATAATGCTCGGTCTCAAGAAATTCAACACTTTGTTCAAAATATAACCTTCCTTCTTCAAATTATCTATTCTTTATTAAAAAGATTCAAAGTATGCTTGCACTGTAAAGGGACTGATAAGAAGTGAAGAAACCCACAAAGAATCCTCAACATTTTAGGCCGACATGAGGAAAGAAGGGCCACCATCGTGATAATATGTACCATAGTCAACTCCACTTAAACAACCAAATCAACATGTCATTATGGCAAGCAACGGGCAAAAATGTAAACAGAATGTAAGCAGATTGTAAGCAGATTGTAAGCAAATGTAAGCAGATATGAGAAAGGTGGATTAACCAGTGACCTCCAGACGTCCACACACCCACAACCTCACCTCCACCTCCCCTCACTCTGTCTTCCGTCATCGCTGATTGGTTTTGTGTGGGAAGGGCTGTATTACTATTAGATGGATGTCACTTTAAGATACATCTGTCATTGCTTTCACACGATCGGAAAACCCACAGACTGTTTCTTTGAAAGATTATACATGAGAATAATAATTTTATAAATATTTTACACAGTTGAAGTTAAAAACATTCCATTCTTTCATATTACTAGAGTTAATTTATATGTCATGACCTATAGATAAAAGGTGTTCCTTACCTTCCTTTGAGGAGGATATAAACACATGGACATACACAGATGAGTTGTTGAGTAATAACCTATAGAATAGTAAAAGCTGGTCACACCTCAAACCTACTGAAACAAGGGGTATCACTTTCTGTGTGGAAGACATTTGTTGCTGGTCTGCAGTTGTAATGCTTTTCGCATATTGTCTATCATTGTGTATGGTAATACATGGCAAATGCTTCCATATTGATGTTATAGAAGTTCCTGAACTTTTCAGTCAATTTGATCTGATGCATCAAACATAACGTATATTGCATCTGGACCATATTGCTATTGTTGAAGTTATTGTTTTGGTCGTTACGCAATTCAGAGAGCAGGATCACAGCGCCAGCGTGAGGTACATGGTCGAGGATCACAGCGCCAGTGTCAGACAAAAACTATCAATATACGTACTTAAGACCGATACAATTACTTTGACATTTCCATGTCAACTTGAAGGCTATTTGTTACATGTGTGGTGTTGGACGTAATGGCCCTTCCCTGTGTCAGCTGTATCCAGTGTCATACAGTCGGCTCTGTTCTGGATCATCAAAGGCGGAGAGTGTTCAATGTTGTTATAAACAGTGGTATTTTGTGGCCTCATTGAACGTTTTTGTTGATTTAAAAATCAGGGTCATGTGTGTTGAGGTTTGAATTATGATTACCTTTAGAAAAAGGATGAAATATTGTGTTACAGTTTTTGTCTTGTACTAATTGTTTACCAGTTTGTGAAATATGTTTATCTTTACCATTATTAAAAACTCTTTCCAAGAGTCATTGCTTAGAACTTTTGATGTCTACAAGATATGTTATGGTCAATCTTAAATCTAAAGTAGAACTATTTGTTATCTTCCTTCAGTAGTGCAGACTTGTGGGTAAAACACACACTATAAAGTCAAAAGGCTGCAAAATCGCTCACAATATAAAAATGATAATATTTTTATACATATATGTACACTTCAGTTTAGAATTAGTTCACAAAATCACTTTACGATCAAATAGTTTATTATCATCTGATTAAATGCCTCTTGTGTGCAGGCATCTTTTAGTCTATTAATTCTTAACTGTTTAAAAAACCCTGATAACTGATGTCAGACAGTCTGATAGTGCAAATATAAATCAAAATGCATCTAAATTGCTTTGATATTTGCCTTCTCCAGTGTGATCTGTTTGCACTAACATTATACACAGTCATATGGTATTCCTTCATGTCAGACAGAAAAAAAGGTTCAAATAATTTGAATGAGATTCCATTTTAGTTTGAAGCATCTATGAATAGCTGAATGAGGGTGAACCGCCCTGTGGAAGATAGACGGATTGTGTCATCTCTATCAGAAAACATGGCCGCAATTAGAGGATAAAAAGTCGTTGTGTGTGTAATATAGGCATGGGAGGTGCTTGATTGTTGGTGTAAGTTTCACCGTCAGACACCAGGAACTATACAGACACAGGCTGCGTCTTGTTCCGCTGTCTGGACACCATCTTAACCAATATCAGTTTTTGTCCAATTTATCCCATTTTCTTATATATTTGTAAAATCATAAGTGATATTGACAGAGAGCTGTCAGACAGAGAATAAGACTGCTGTGTTATGGAATGCATATTGAGGAAGGCTATTTACACATGATATTATCTTGTATATGAGTTGTGGGCGTGGGTCTGGTATTCGGTCATACTTTTTCATACACTATGTTGGGAACTCACAGGACATGATAGAGCTAATTTGGAATTACTGTTGTAGGTGTATGATTAACATTCTACCATTGCAAGTGTGCGATTCGTAGATTCCATACGGCACAAGCATGTCACACAGGAATACTTGGTTCAGGATTAAACAAGGAAGAAAGAGAGTCGGTTGTTAGTTCAGCTGATAAAGCAACATGTGTGTCACCATTTGGTTCCAGACTCAGATTAACAAACATTCCAATCAAATTTCTGTCTGTTTAATATTACAAACATTTAAAAAGGAACAAACTTCTCTTAGTTTATGCAGAAAACAAGAAAATCAGCTGAACTGATATCCATTGGCTTGTAAACAGGGGTGTACAGATACATTTGTTTATACAGTGATATATCTAATATCTTATTAACCTCTTCTGTAAGTAAAGTAATATATTACAGTGTCTAGTTTCATATCATTTGTTTAAAACTTATATGAATGTCTTAACAGTAGAGTTTACAAACAGGATGTGATAATATACATACAAATTCAAGAAAAATAATGGTACAGTCAGTAAGTAAATATACATTGAAATTGCATTTGTGATACATTGTAGAACATATCTTCCATGCCAGTGTGGGGTGTCAAGGGTGTACCTTGTGATGGGTGTACCTTGTGACGGGTGTACCTTGTGAAGGTTGACTACCTTGTGAAGGGTGTACCTTGTGACGGGTGTACCTTGTGATGGGTGTACCTTGTGAAGGTTGACTACCTTGTGATGGGTGTACCTTGTGATGGGTGTACCTTGTGAAGGGTGTACCTTGTTAAGGGTGACGGGGTGTACCTTGTGAAGGGTGTACCTTGTACTTTGAAGGGTGTACCTTGAGAAGGGTGTACCTTGTGAAGGGTGTACCTTTGTGAAGGGTGTACCTTGTGAAGGGTGTA